ATGAGTTTTTGTTTTTGAAAATTTGATATTCCTCAAGGACCTAATTGCAATTGTATAAAGTTCAATAAAGTTCAATAAATCTCAATTTAATAAATGAGACAATTATGTAAGTTAATTAATGTTAAATGAATGGACATTATTGGTATATTAAATGCACATTATATATTGGATCAAACACATTAGAAAGACTCGTTATAATTTATAAAATTACATAGAGTTGTTCATTAGTCGGTTCTATATGTTCATAAATTCAAATTTTTCAAGACGCCACTGCGCCATTTTCTGTTGTTTGTAAATTTTTGAACCATTTTTTTATTAGTTGGTTTCGGTGCATATTGTGCAACACAATTATCATTAACGTGCAATTCGTCTCATAATATTGTGCACTCATAGTGCGTATACTTTTAATGTGGTGTCCGAAATACAAACTACAAGCGAATCGAAATAGTTAGTTTATTTCGATCGGTTAACACATTTATTTAAATAAATAGAATATTTTTTATTTACATTATATATAAAAAACGTATTTAGTATTTTATATTTATATTTAACATTTTATATTATTTTTGGTTGATAATACATAATGTAATGAAATACATTATTGATGTTTGTCTGTCAACATAAATAACTAAAATATTAGACATAAACTATATTTTTTATTATAAAATACATGATTATTATTTAATATTTATTATTTGATATTCTATATTTTTTCTTAAAAATTAGTATGTATGTGAATGAAATATTATGTGCAATGTGACAATTATTAAAGTGCAATTTGTTCAACACTATGGTGCATGGTGTCGATATGTATTGTGCCTAATAAAATATAAGTTTTCGAACTGGCATAAATAACCAAAATATCCAAAATAAATCAGATTATTTATTATAAGAAATGTGACTAATATTAATACGTTTTTATTTGATATTTTATATTATATTTTGATTAAAAAACTAATACTTATATAAATGAAATATTATGTGCAATCTAACAGTTGTTAAGGTGCAACTTGTTCAACATTATGGTGCATGATGTCAATCTGTATTTTATTATTTTATGTTATTTTTTACTTTTAAAATTCACATATATTGGTCCTGTTAGATTGCAAATAATATAGAATTGATCTTGTAATTCACATGTAATTTTAGAAGTAAAAAATATTTCTGTTTAAGATTACAGATTCTATATATATCTGACATATACATTTAATATAAAATTGATCCTGTACTTTTAATATTTCTGTTTTTACTTTTTTTTTTATTTACTACCTTTTATAAACTTTTTGTAGATTACAAATTTGGCACATTTACTCAATTGAAAATAATCAAAATTCTTGAAATTGCACATAGGTCCTTGTAAGTTATCAAATTTTCAAAAAAATAATCCCTACATCCAAAAATTCAATTACACATAAAAAAAACTTGCAGGCTTTGAATATGTTCCAGACACCTCCTTCAGTCACCACTTCTGGCATCGTGACAGCCAACGGCGGATGCGGTTCCGGCGGGAGGCGGGGCGACGTCGAGATTAACGGCGGCGTACCGGAGCTCTCTACTTCCGGCAGCGAGGCGGTACACGGTTGACGTGCGGTTGAGGACGTCGATCAGTTGCGGTTCTGGCGGGATTCTGGGCGACCGAGACATTAACGGCGGCGTACTGGAGCCACCACTTCCGGCAGCGGGCGGCATACAACGGTGCAGTGGGATTCTGGGCGACGACGGGATCAGGCGCGGTGCCGGCGGGATTCTAGACGACGGCGCCGTCGTTGTGCCGGCGAACGTGTGTGTGTGTGTGTGTGTGACAGATTGTGTGCGACGGGGTGGTGTTGTGTATGTGTGAGATCTGTGTGAGATTTGTGTGAGGGAGAGAGAGTGAATTAGTCAATGAGAGAGAAAGATTTTTAATGAGAGACAGAAGGGTGGTGTGAAAGATTTTTAATGAGAGACAGAAGGGTGGTGTCACGTGGAAGGCAGTGAGGTGTGCTGTGCATGGGTCCACAGTTGTTGAGTGTCGTCAATTACTATATTGTCCTTCATTAAGGTATATTTTGATATTTTTTTAGCCATTAGATCACCAGATCTAATGGCTACGATTTGTTCTTATTTCTTTCCTTAAGCACCATTCTCACCGGAGCGTGACCCTATATACATAGACGAATATGTAAAAACAAATATCTAAACAATTTGTTTAAAGTATCTAAAATATTATAAGCCTAATTAAATTACATACAATTTCAAAATTATTATTATGACATTACTTCCATTTAACAAAATTTGATTACATACAATGTCAAAAATATCTGTTATTTTGTTAACCTAAAAAATAGAAAAAAAGGAAACATCACAAAAACTATGGCCAGTTTTTAAAGGAAACAAATCAACAAAATCTATTATTTTGTTAACCTATAAA